AGTACATACTCAGAACCTCGGGATAGGCACAGATTTCTTAAGCAGGGTCCATAAAGCAATAACCATAGAAGGAAAAAAATAATAAATTGCACTTCATCAAAATTAAAAGCTTTTCTTCAAAAGACACCATTAAGGAAATTAAAATTGTAGTCACAGATGGGAAAGAAATATTAACAACTCATTAAACGAAGGCGATGTGTAATGAGAAAAGATTTCAACACTTCACTAAGCAAGACACACGGGTGGTCAGTGAATCCACGACACGGCGCTCAACAGCCCTGGTCTTCAGAGACGAGAAAGCCACTCACGGTGTCTCTGAGGCTGTCAGCAGGGGTGCGAGGCCACATGGCTGGGAAGCTTCTGGAAACACCTCCTGGGGCCTCCTGGGGCCCCGAAGTTCTAGTAGGTATTTGCGCCAGAGAAAAGAAAACATGTCCACACAAAGACGCGTGTGCGTGCGCGCACGGGAAGCAGCATGATCCGTCATAGCTCCAAACAGGAAACAATCCAAGCGTCCATCAATGAATAAACAAATGGCGGAATATTCACAGACACAAGCAAACCACACACGTACTACCGGGGATGAACGGCAAAGCCCGCTGAAGCAAACAGGCTGTGCACAAAGGAGAGTCCTCCATTTACATGAGGTTCTAGAACACACGAAGGCTCTAGTGCAATGGCGGTCAGGGCAGCGGCTTCCCGGGGAGGCGCAGGGAAGGTAGATGGACGTGTTCCATCCATCGACTTGGGTGGTAGCCACGGGTTGTCCACGTCGTAAACAGCGACAGGAGTCACGTTAGCGGTTAAAGGTGGAAGCTGAGTGGCTATGTTGTTGTCAGCAAAGGTAGACTTCAAAACAGAATGCGCCAGAGAGGAAGGGGACGTGACATGAGGCCAAGGGGGCTGCTCACCGGGAGGACACAGCAGCCCTCAATGTGACAGGGTTGCAGAATACAGGAAGCAAACGCTGACCGAGGAGCAGGGGACAGACCCACAGCTGTCCTCGGTGGCACTAACACCCGCGCGGGAATCGGGAGAGAAAGCAGACAGAAGACCAGAGCAGACCTCTCCCCTGACCTGACCTGGCCGGCATTGCTAGAACTTTCCCCAGACCACAGCAAGCGACACCTCCCCGTCAAGCACATGTGGAAGGCTGGCCCAAAACAAGTGTCACCAATTTCAGATCAAACCAAGTAGTTCTCTGTCTACAACAGAATTACGTTAGAGACCAGCATTGAAGCTGGTCAAAGGGAGCTGACAGAGGCCAATGATGGGCATTTTCTGGAAGAGTCGATTAACATTCAGTAAGAAACCCACCTCACTACTTAGCTACCGAAATGCAGGGGACGGCACAGGGAGGCACAGCTGTGTCCCCGCCAAAGGCACAGATGACAACCCTTGCTGTGGACGGGGCAACTGGGCCCTGATGCAGGGAGGCAAAGTGACACAGCCTGTGGGCCAACCACCTGACCACGGCAGATCCCGCGGGGCACAGAGCGGTCCGTTCCCGGGGTTACAGCCAGTAGAAATGCACAAATGTACCAAAACATGCCCCAAGATGCTCATAGCAGAAATACTAGCTGTCCCAGGGATGCCTGGAGGGCACAGTCGATTAAGCATCCAACTCTTGGTGTTGGCTCAGGTCACGATCTCACAGTCTGTGAGTTCAAGCCCCGCATCGGGCTCTGCACGGACAGCATGCAGCCTGCTTGGGATTCTCTCTCCCTCCCTCTCTCTTCTCCTCCACTCTGTCTCTCAAAATAAGTAAACTTAAAGAAAGAAATACTAACAGCCCCAAACTGGAAACAGCCCGAATGCCATCGACTGGGAGACAGATAAATAAAGACCGGTGTATCCTCCCACAGCAACCCACCGGGCAGCCGGGACACGCCGACGGCGGCCGGTGTGGCTCGTGGATGAGCGTGGACTCAGGCTGAGGGAAGGAAGCTGGCACGAGCGCACACTGTGTGATCCCCTCTCCGGCAAATTCCAGAAGAGGCAGGACTAATGGATGGCTGGGGGCTGGGGGCTGGGGGCTGGCTGCACGGTCAGCCAGAGAAAACAGGTCAAGCTATGCCCTTGTCGCTACACCCGTGCGACAGGCAGATATCCAGACGTGGCGGCAGTTGAGGGATGGGACCCCTGCCAGCCGGGTGGACAGCATCTGGCATGATCTGCGGGAACCTGGCAGGAACCCCACCCCCAACTTACCATTGTTATTCAGATGGAAAGGGAAAACTCTAGAATAAAAAGTCCCAGAGCACAGGACCGTAGGAAAGGTCAGTCACTGATGTGGGGACGCACGCTGGGACCACGGGCCCGGCCCGTAAAGGTTCAGGTACTAAGCAGTTTCCAAGGTCTCCATGGAAACTCCCAGGCCTGCCGCTGCGGGCCACGTGCCACAGGGCGTGTCCACATGCCCTGGCCAGCTTGGTCTGCTGCCCCAGGTGCCGTCGAGGGACTTAGAAACTTGGCGAGAAGGGGGAGGTGCACGGTCGCTTTGGACCTCGCACACGTGTGCGCCCACAGTTCTCTGTGCCCCGTCTCATCTGGTGCAGGTGACCATGTGATGCCACGGAGAGACCAGTGCCGTTGAAAGAAGGATCTGACTCAATTTCCCAAGAGGGCACGCCATGCCCACAGGGCCACCAGGCAGGGCAAGGGGAAGGCCTGGGCCAGGGACCTGCAGGGCAGGGCGCACAGAGCCGCCTTCGTTGCCTGGGACCTGGCCCTGGGTGACTTCGGTGTCACGGCTGGGAGTAGCTGCTCGGAGTGGCCGGTGGTGATGCCTGGCCCCAGGCGGGGGTGGGGAGGGGTGGGAGGGAGTGTGGCACACACATGTCCCGCTCCAGGCAAATGTCCACCACCCCCAAAACGGGCTGGCCCTGGGGGGGGCGTCTGTCCTCAGGCCCCCAAGATGCCAAACGTCACAAGATACAGAACATTAGAACGTGGTTAATACGAAGAGAGTTCAGGGCACGGTCCTGTGCGGTCACAGCGGCCTGAGCCATAATCCTCAAAAACGGGAAGGACGGTCTGCTCACAGGTGACGGGCAAGAAAACGCGTTTCCGTTTGCTCGGGTGGAGAACAGCGCTGAGCAGCTCCTTTGCGTTTACTGGCAGACCCAGGACCACGAGGGGTCTCGGCGATGCCCGTGGACCCCGTGCCGCAGGGCTCCACTCACGACCAGAAGGGGCCCGGTGGACTTTCCGGGCGACCGTGGCGCCCTGAGTGCGGAGCGGAGTCCCGGGTCCTTAGTGTCTCGTCTAATAAAACTCCCCGAGGTGAGGGCTGAGATCGTGCACTTTGGTCACATGTGAAATCTGCCTCGATCCCTAAAGCAAAACCCTGGAGGCAAATACGACAAAATAGTAGTGTGTCGTCCCCTCATTTGGCGTGAGGGGAACCCGGTACTTAGGTTTTTGTGTGTGATTTTCTGACATTATTTATTGAGTCTCAAAAAAGCTCCACAAAGAAACAAAAACAGGGACGGGAAAGGCAGCGTCTCTGTCCCAGCGGCTCCGCGGTCTCTCCTGATCCAGAAACGAGTGTCCGCGGCTGGGCCAGCGCCAGGGCCCTCCCGCCACCACCGCTGCACATCTGGAGCCGGGTCCGACGCCGTCAGGACTGAGGGGACGACATGTGACACCCGCCTCTTGCGAAGGCCGCCCGGACGGCCCCCAGCGGGCAGGTGCCGGTCAGAGCCGGGCGGATGGGGCGGGACATTCAGAGCCTCGGGTCTCTATCCCGCTCCTGGGCGTGAGGACCTTCGGGCCCCAGTCAGGATCCGCGTCACAGGCGCCACACAGAGCGGGTGAGGGTGTGGCTGTGCCCCGGCACCACGGCCGACCGGGACCAGCGACCGGGCCTGGGCGGCGACCAGTCCTCGGACCGGATGCTTGGTCTGTGCTGGGTTCCGAACGTGACTCTTCTCTCCAGGCCGCCAAGTACCTCTGGACCCAGGACCTCGCGGGCCAGGCGGGGCTCCAGGCCCAGCTCCTACCTGCCACATGGCACCCCTTCAGTCAGGGGGTCTGCGGAGGTACGATTTTGACCATCAACATGAGGAACAGACTCCTTGGCCTCCGGGTGGCCTCTGAATACACTGTCCTCCCTCCCTTCCCCGGCACTCGGGGCCTAAGGGCTCCGGAGAAAGAGGGAGAGCCCAGGGACAGCACGTGCCCCCCCCCGCCCCCCCCCCAGGGCAACGTTTCCCCAGGGTCACGGGGATACTATTGACATCGCCTCGGGGCGGGGGAGGGGGGGGAATGACACCGGGTCCCCCAGCTGTGGCTCCTCGGCTGTGCCGGCCGCGGGATGAAAGCCAGGGCTGGGAGGCCTATGGGGGCCCCTCACATAGGACATTTCTCTGGGACCACACTGCAGAGGGTCCCAGAGTCAGCCCGGGCAAGGTGTCCTCGGGGACCCTCACCATGGCCACCGAGCCTGTGCTTCAGAGAGGGTCTCCCAAGGGGCTGCGTACAGAGGGGACCCACAGGAGGTCAGGGAGAGCCCGGACAGGGACCCCGGACACTGGACACTGCTCCGGGACCTTCACCACTACCTGTGTCCACTGGGAGTCTGCAAATGCTTGCCCAGGACTTCCCAGGACCCCAGGAAGACAGATGTCCAGAGTCCCTGGTGCGAAGGGTACCTGTGCCCATGGGGCGCCTGTCGCTAGACTCCCCCGCACGCTGGCCCAGAACTCGCATTATCGCTAATTTACCCAGAATAAAACAAAACAAAACATCCCTGCTTGGACCCACCCCTGGCAAATGAGATTCCAGGGTCTGCTGCCTGGCCTCTGTGGGGGCCAAGAGAGCCAGCCCGAGGACGCTGGTGGGTGGGTGGGGGTGCAGATGCCCGGGCCTCCGTGATCCCACAGGGGTGAGGGGAATCGGGGGCTGACGGTGGCGGAAGTCGTGGCCCTCGGGACAGTCGGGACTGCTAGCTGCTTGCTGAGTGGTCGGACGCGTGTCCTGGGCAGGAAGCCAACGTGTCACCATGCTCCAGATAAACTTTAATGAGACGTAGGCGGTGACCCGCCCTCCAGACAAGAACAGGCATTTCCTAGCCGTCCTTTCCAGCCCGGCCGCCCCCCAGGCAGGTCTCAGCAGGACCGAGCCAGCACCGGCTCCCCCGGGGTGCAGTGACCCTTTCCAAGGCTGTCTCACAGTAGGCAGAAAACAGGGGGACAATCTGGCAAATGCTGTGACCCCACGCAGTTGAGGAACCCCTAGGACAGCCAGGCACAGACCTGGGGCTGCGGGCGCCTGGCCCCCGTCCCGCTAGATCATGCCGGCCAGCCAGGGGGGCAGGAAGAGACCCGCGGTCCCCAGCAGGCAGACGAGGACGAACACCCACAGGAAGATGCGGTCGATGACCATGGCCACGTACTTCCAGTCCTCCTTTACCTGCAAACACAGACGCGTGTGGTCACTCCCAGCCCACCGCCCTCAGGCCTCCAGACGGCGAAAACCTTCTAGAACCTGGTACTTTTCCCGCGCAGGATCTCCATTTCCCCTCCCGGACACCCAGGTAATCAGGGTGACCGCCTGCTGAGCTGAGCAGGAGGGGCTCAGAGACGCATCCTGCAGGCCGGGCCTGGGGTTTGGTGCTCTGGCCCACCTGACTTCACCTGCCTGGCCAGAAGCCCCAGGGCCAGGGAGGTGGAGAGCCTCTGGGACCCCAGCAGCCAGGCTGCTTTATGGTGACGTTTGCTCTCACCTCACCCAAGCTGGGACGGACACCATGGAGAGCATCAGGTGCGCCCCCGTTTTGCAGATGAGGAAAGTGAGACCCAGAGAGGGGATGCCCACATGCCTTGGCTATTCAGGGTCAGGGCCAGGAGCACCCTCGGGGCCTCCCCCGCAGTGGACCACGTCCGGAAGGCGACGGCCGAGGCCCAGCTGCCCTGCACTCCCGCCCACCCTGTTCCAAGGGGCGGTGCTCACAGGCCAGCTGCCCTCCTGAGTCAGCGGGGTCTCTTAGCTCTGTCTCTAAGGTCCCTGGGCGGGAGTGGGGGGGGACAAGCAAACGGCAGACCAGGCCACTGCGGGCAGGCTCGGAGTGGGGCACGGCAGCAGGAGCGGAGGGCTCCTCGGAGGCGGTCAGGATGCCCTGGCTTGAGGGGAGGTCCCGGACACGGAGGCCAGAGGGCATGTCACCTGCGGCCATTCACCTTTAGAAAGGAGGCCGTGCTGTCCATGCACAGGTGGGGACCCTGAGGCACAGAGGGCAGCCCAGGGCAGAGGCTCCGAGAGGCGCAAGCGGTGGCGGGCTGGGCGGGTGGGCCGCCTGGGCAGGGGTGGGCTCAGCCCTCGTTCTGGGGTGTGGAGGGCACAGAGGGCCCTTCGCCGCCATATTCTGCTCTCTTTTCGCAAGTCATCAGAGACATCCTGAGGGTTTCAAAGCAAACCGGAGCCGGAGGGCAAGCAAGGCCACTTATAAATAAGAAGTCCATCCGGGACCCTCCGTTCCAGGGAGGCTGAGACACACACACACCTCCGCTTTGTCTTTGATCCCCCCGCACCCGTCCCCCATCCTGCGGATGAAAGGCCCTCGCGGACAAAGCCGCCCAGAGCGTCCAAGGCCCGTCCTCGTCAAGGCAGCCTGGCGACGCTCCCAAACCAGAACCAGGTCGTGGCGGCCAGACCCGCGATGCGGATAAAGGACGGGCCAGGCCCCCTCCAGACAGGCACCGCCAGCCGCTGGGCTCCCTGAGGATTCTGGTTCCACTTCTAACGGCATCAGTCCCTCCTCAGCACTGCTCGGACCCCCCAGCTGTGCTCCCACCCCCAGCTCGGACCCCCAGCAGTGCTCAGACCCCCAGCTGTGCTCCCACCCTGTGCTCAGACCCCCAGCTCGGACCCCCAGCAGTGTTCCCACCCCCAGCTCGGACCCCAGCTTGGACCCTCAGCTGTGCTCAGACCCCCAGCTGTGCTCCAACTCCCCACCAGGGCTCGGATCCCCCAGCAGTGCTCGGACCCCCAGCAGTGCTCGGACCCCCACATCGAGTTAGGGAACCATCTGTTCTTTAAGAGCTGGCAGCAAAATGGGGTCCAGGGCAGAACCTTCTGGAAACCTCCAGAACAGCTTCACAGCCTCTTGAGGTTCAGCAGGGTACCTGGGAAACCGGGGATGTGCTGTGCAGGCAGCACCCCTGATCCTCCCCAGGGCTCACTCAGCCATGGGGCACATGGTCCTGGGGCCACACGTGTCCCATAAACAATCAGGGGCCATTACCCAAGGTGCAGGCAGGGACAGCAGCGTCCCCGTCACGGCAGCAGCAGCAGCGACAGGCAGGACACAGTTGACAAGGGCAAGGTCAATGCAGCAGGGCAGAGGTCAGGCCCCAGGCTGACCAGCAAACAGCGGCCCAGCAGACTGACCAGGGCCGGAGACCCCTCTCACTTCCTCTGCCTGTGCTCTGAGCTTGCAGATGTCCCCACCTCACTCCTGGCTACATGAGGTCCTGAGATTTCAGCCAAGTCTGAGCTGGGACGGGTGGACAAGCATCACTACAAGGAAAAAGGAATGTTCCCTAGCGGTGGGGGTCAGGCAGAGATGGCCCGTCCCTGGGCCCAGTGCCCACCAGCTGGGCGTCCCGGGCACATCCAGTAACCTCTCCTTCGTGAGCCGAGCACAACAGGTGCGTGGCAGTCCTATCTCAGCCCTAGGGGCTGACACTCAGCAGAGGGACTGGGGACACTGTCAGGGCACCCTCCGATCCCTGCCAGTGACTGCACTCCTCCACAGCTGGGGTCCCGGGGTCCCCAGGTCCTTGCAGCCAGGCCAGCGATAGAGCCCCTTGGCCCACGACTCCCAGCTTGACATGTAGGGTGCTGGCCGAAGAGGCAGGGCTGTGCCCCAGACCCCAGTCCTTCCCTCTCCCTACTCCTCCTCCTCCGCCCCGGGGCCCAGCCACCCCCAGCCCCTCCCCAGAAGCCCATGCCCCGCTTGGACAGGGCTTTCCTGGAGGCCAGCAATAGCGCCCAGACGTCCTGGGCCTGCCTTCTGTCTGCAGGATCCCTGTGTCCTGAACAGCAAGGACACCCCTGCGGTCCACTCTCCGCTAGACGCTCTGGGCCACCTGCCCCAGTGCCACCCCTGGGACCTCCCGCCAGCGTCAGGCGCTCAGGCAATAGAGAGCAGGACAGGGTCGGGGCTCGAGGTGCGTGCGTCCCAGAGCTCAGTAGCCTGGGTCTGGGCCCCGGCCCTTGGACTTTTCCCTGGCCGCTCCCTCCTCCGGAGACGAAAGAGAGGCAGAGAGCGTCTGTCCAGCCAGGGACACCTCCAGACACAGCCATGGGCAGAAACTTACCGAGAAGTCCGTGTCTTCCGCCTTCAGATGGTCTGCGATGTACTGGACGCCCTCTACGGCCCGCGTCAGCGCCGGGGACAGGGGCAGGTGCCGGGGCGCGGCTTTGGTGCCGCGGGCCTTGAGCGCGGTGTTTGGGGACGGCTCCTTCTGGCACCTGCACTTGCACGGAGAGGGCTGGTCTGGAGCCGGGAGCTCGGCCGAGCTGGCCTTCAGAAAGGCGGGGGAGCCGGCCACGGGGCCCCCGGCCTGGGAGGCGGCATCGTCTTGGGGAACGCAGCACTGGATGCTCCGAGACCGGCATCGGACGCCGTCCTCCGCGGCTTCGGCGGGGCTGGACACGTGCTGGGCACTCAGGGACCGGGCTCTGGCGAGCCCCGGGGCCCGGGTGCCGGAGGGCGGGTGGCAGGGATGAGGCGAGGGGCAGGGGCTCCCGTTCTCAGACTCCGAGGGCAGCTCGCAGGCCGCCTGGGCCTTGGCCGGCTCGTCCAGGGGGCCGCGGGAGGACGGGGAGGGCGAGGCGGGCGAGGGGCCCCGGCTCTGAGCTGCGCTCGTGAGGGTGGGCTCCCCCTCGGGCTCGGGCCAGAAACCCGGGGCGCCGGCCGTCTTGTGCATGGACTCGATGAGCCGCCTACAGTTGTCCTTGACCACCGACGGCCGTTTCATGAAGAGCAGGCGGGGCACGACGTCCAGGAAGACCCGGCGGACCCAGGCGGGCATGGTGTGCGTGCGCGGGGAGCGGTGGTGCACGTTGAGCACGAAGACGGTGATGACGATGGACAGCGTGACGAAGATCATGGTGAAGAGCAGGTACTCGCCGATGAGCGGGATGACCAGGGAGGTGGAGGGGATGATCTCGGTGATGAGCAGCAGGAAGACGGTGAGCGAGAGCAGCACGGAGATGCACAGCGTGATCTTCTCTCCGCACTCGGACGGCAGGTAGAAGACCAGCACCGTGAGGCAGGAGATGAGCAGGCAGGGGATGATGAGGTTGATGGTGTAGAAGAGGGGCAGGCGCCGGATGACGAAGGCGTAGGTGATGTCCGGGTAGACCTCGGCACAGCACTCGTACTTCCTGGTGTTGTAGGTGCCCACGGCGTCCACGATGACCCACTCCCCGCTCTCCCACAGGTCCAGCTGGTCCACGCGGCTGTGCATGTTCACCAGGTCGATCTTGGCCTTGTCGTAGGTCCAGGAGCCGAACTTCATGGTGCAGTTCTGCTGGTCGAAGGGGAAGAAGGTGACGTCGATGCTGCAGGAGCTCTTGTAGATGGCCGGGGGCGTCCACTGGACCCGCCCGTCGTGGAAGAGGTGGGCCTTGGTCAGGTGGGTGACCGCAAAGTCCCCGTCCGCGCTGCGCAGGAAGAGAGGGGCGTGAGACACCCCGGCACCGCTCCCGGCTCACGGGCGCGCCCCCCGAGGGCGGGGCGGGGCTGGGGCCCCCCCCCCCGGGCGCATCATGGTCAGCCACCTGCCTCGGCTTATCACCCCTACCCTGGGGGGACACGCGGCTTGGCGGCGATCCCGTGGGGGGGAGAGGCAGGGAGGGGGCCGTGCGCCGGGGCAGGGGCGGGGGGCCTGGCAGCCGGTCCGTTTCTGTCCTGGAGCCAGGAACTAGTCTGGGCCAGGGCCCGCGGGCAGCCTAACGGGGGGTCAGGTCCCTGCAAGGGTCCGAGGTCGGGGAGCTCCCGTCCCCGGTGTGAGGGCGAGGGGGCCCTCCCCACGGCCCAGGGCGGAGGGCAAAGGGCACGGCTCCTCAGAGGGTCCTGGCCCCCACCCACACCCCGTGCACATGACGGCACGGACGTGAAAATGGCTGCGGGCACCAGGCCACAGAACTCCGCAGGGTCTCGGGGGACTGGGCCTGGTCGCCTGTAGGTCACCTCGGGGGTTGGGCCAAGCGGAGTAGGGGCCTGCCCCAGACCAGGCGCGCCCGCACCACTGGGCACTTGGCTACTCTAGCTCTGTTACCCCCACAACTCACAGGTGAGGTTACTCCCCTCCTGCACAGGCGAGGACCCCAGGCCACATGAGCAGGAGACGACAGGGCCAGGCCCTGGCCATCCTCCCCTTTGCCTCGCCCTTGGCCGGGGGCAGATGTTGGCTCCTGTCCACAGGCCAAGTGGGCACAGAACAGGGCCGGGGGGGATCCTGCCTGTGACCCCAGGCTTCCCAGACAGCAGCGTCTGCCTCACTGTCTCCACGAGCGTGCCTGGCGAGTGGTGTGGAGTGGGGCCCAGGAACCTCATCGGCTCCTGGAGTCGGCCCTGCTCTCCTCTGTGGCTGGAAGCCCCTGGTTGCCAGCGGGGTCCCCGGCCAGTGTCACCACTCTCCTGGCCTCAGTCTCCCCGAGGCGTGGTGGCCACGAGCAGGTGGAGACAGCGGCAGCCCCAGGCTTGGCTCTGAAGGGCTGGCAGGGAACCTCCCCACGGCCCCACGGAGCCCCAAGGACAGTGGCTCGAAGACCGTGGAGGTGGGGGTTCACCACAACCTGCTGGCACAGCAGCTCAGCCAGAGAAGCTGCCGGCAGACCCCAGACCCTCGACACCAGCTGCTCGGCCCCAGGTGTGGGTCAGGCGCCCACCAAGGGCTCAGAGCCCAGCCTTCCGTGCCGGCCCACACCCCTGCTCCCCACACCCACCGCAGGTGCACTCAGCCCGGGCCTAGAGGCCCGCAGCCCCAGTGAACACCTCCCCGTCCCCCGCATCCAGCTCAGAGACCGCCCCCCATGCTCTCAGTGGGCACCAACCCGATCCCATGACCTCCGTGACCCTTCCTAGCTGACGTCTAGGTCGGTGGCAGGTGGAGACCCGCAAATGCATCCCCACGAAGAGGGGCAGGGCTTTCCCCAGGGGGCCGCTGGACGCTGGCCTGGGGCTGAGGCTCTCTCCCCGGCAGGATGACGCAAGACTGTCCTCCCTCGGCAACATCCCTCCAAACCCAAAGCCTTGCCCCTCTGAGGCACAAAGCAAATGAACCAACGCCACTCAGCAAACATTCTGCACGGAGATCAGAGGCTCCAGTCGGTGGCGTGAGCCCGGCAGCCCTGATCCTCCAGGCAGGGCAGGGAATGTTCCAGAAGTTCACGGAAAGCAACCCCAGGAACTGGGAATCTGCACCCAGGCCTCTGGGTTTTGATGCCCACAGACAGGATCGGAGTTTTCTCCTGGGACACAGCCCGCTGACCCCTGCGGCCACGCCCCCACGTGCCCCGAGCCACAAGGCCCCCATCTCCTGGCCCGGCCCAGCCCCGGCTCAGATCCCCGAGACGCCTCCCAGGAGGCCGTGCTCGTCTGGACCTGTGGCCTGGGCCTGCGGGTGGACATGCTCCCTGATGTGCAGCAGCCTGGCCGCGTCCTGAGGAAGCAGAGGATCTCAGAAGGCGGCCCGGAGGGTCCAACGTCTTCCCGGCCCGGCCCCGAGGCCCCGGCGGTGCAGGGGCGAGGCCCGGCGCCAGGGGTGTCTGGTTCCACGGCAGGCGTCCAGCAGGGCTGTGCCTCCGGGGAGCCAAGGGGCGTGGACGTCGGGACTGGACGGGCAGAGCCCGAGCACGTTCTACGGCAGAGCAGGGGCGCCGTCCCAGCCTGTCCGGGCCCCCCGCTCCAGGCCCCGCGAACCCCCATCCGTGTGGTGCTGTGTGTAAGAGGACTTGCGAGACACTCTGCCCCCAAGGGCTCACGTGAAGAAGCCCCCAAGTGGACAGACAGCACGGCCTCCAACCAAGGGGATTCCCCAAAGCTACCAGAAAGCTGCCCCCCCTCTTTCCCCTCACCCAGTAGCCCAGGGCAAACACCTAGCCACACTCAAGTGGACAGCAGCCTGGTCAGCGGCCTCCCGTTGCCCCTGGAAACGTGCCCTCCTGGTAGCCGTGGCTTGGCTACCATCGGCCACCGGCTCCGGGACCCTTCTTCGCCCACCACCGCAGCCCTGAGCAGACAAAGCCCCTGTGCCGACCACAGCCTCACAGAGAAGCTGGGGGTCCACCCGCCACCTCCCCCAGGGACCCGGAAGGAGGCGAAACAAGGAGGGACTTTGAGTGTAGCCCCATCCTGGGCTGCAGTCCCGGGGGGTCTGTACAGATCCCAGAGCTGCTTCTCCGCCAGCACGTCCTGCCCAGGGAGGGTCTGGTGCGACCACAGCAGGAAGGCTCCCCTGGGGGCCCAGGGCGCTGACACTGATGCGCATCCTCTGAATCCACCACTCAGACGGTGTGGTGCTAGGTCCTGGGGTGAGGGGTGTGGGGAGCAGACCGGGGACCCCGGGAGGGCTGGGGTGGCGGCAGGGGCTGGCCGTAGAGAGCAGAGGACCGTGCCCTGCGGAGAGAGCCTTCCCCTTACGGAGCTGACCCCCTCTAATGCATCTCGGAGAACCCTCTAGCTCTCCCGCTGTTATTACTGGAATCAATTAAGTTGGAAAAGGAGCCCAATCGTTCTTAATCAAATAGCAACGTTTTATAGGTCAGGCCCATTGCCTGGGGGCCCGGGAGGGGCTTTGTACCACAGCCCGCTGGGGTCTGGCAGTGGGGAGGGCAGGGGTCCGGAGGGAGCTAAGTGCTGCCATTGCTTTGTTCGTAATTGTAACTGCTGTGGGAGCTGCTGCCCCGGCCTGAGCCTGAACAAACAGCCCAGCTGTGACCCGGCAGTGACACGGGGACAGAGGAGGACGTCGTCGGGCTGCCCCGGGCTCAGGATCCCCCAGCAAGGGTCCCGGGAAAGGATGAGTTGGAGCCCACGCCCTGCCACGGCCGTGCCTGGAAAGCACCGGCTTCCTGGCACAGAACAACCACATCCAAGAACAGATTCAGGGAGGCGTCCGGGGGCCACTCGCTCAGCAGCGTGAAGGTGCCGGTGCTGGGAAGGCTGACCGCACAGGGGGACTGGGGACACCGAGTTGGGCCCGGTGGTTGTGTGCTTGGCAAGGGACCACCTGCCCGGCTGGGGACAGTGAGTGCGGCCGGTAGGGGGGCAGCTCTGGGGCCTGCAGTCGCCCTGGGGCAGGACTAGGGCGGGGGGTGGGGGGGGAAGTGGTCCAGGCAGGGACAGAGCCCCCAGGGCCCTTGTCTCCTGCTTTGCTCACCCCCCTTCCCTTCCAGAGGCCTCAGCCCTGGCTCCCGACAGTGGGGCCCACACAGGCCACCACCTCTTGCTCGCGCCTGGATGGCCTGGATCACTGGCACCCGGACACAGGTACCTGCACCCCTGCCCGCCGACCTCCCAGGGGCTCACTTGTTATAAAGGACGATGTCCGGCCGCCAGATGAGCTCGGAGGGAATGCGAATGGAGGTGACGTTCTCGTAGTCGGCAGGGTCCCAGCGCAGCTTGTAGTCATGCCATTCCTGGGGACAGGGGGAGGTGGGGGGGAAGCCACAGCTGGGAGGGGGAGGACCGTGGGGGAGAGGTGTGGGGGAGGGGGAGAGGGAAAGAGGAGAGGAGGGGGAGGGGGAGAGGGAAAGAGGAGGGGAGAGGGAGGGGGAGAGGGAAAGAGGAGGGGAG